AGAGTAGAGAGAGGAAGTGTTACCTATGTTCCTGAAGCTGTGAAAGCAAGGAAGTGAGAGGGTCTCATATGGGGAGAGCTTTAACTTGGCGAAGGCTTTCTCTGGACCACAGGGTGTGTGTTTGTGTGTGTGTGCGTGTGTGCGTGCGTGATGTGTTTGTGTGATGTGTGGTGTGTGTGGATATGTGTGTGTGTCTGTATATGGTATGGTGTGTGTGTGTGTGTGTGTGTGTGTGTGTGTGGTATGTGTTATAGTGGTATTTGGTGAGTGATATGTAGTTTGTGTCTCTGTGTATAATACGTGTGCTGTGTGGTGTGTGTACTGTGTGCATGGGGGGTGTATGTGGTGTATGGTGTAGTGGTACATAGTTTGCATCTGTGTGTGTGTGCACATGGGGGTTGTAATTTGTGTGTGTTGTGTGTCTCTGTGTGTGGGTATGATGTGTGTATGTGGGTGTACTAGTTATGTACTGAGTGATGTAGTGGTGTCTAGTGTTTCTCTGTGTGTTATGCATGTGCTATGTGGTGTGTGTGTACATGGGGGTGTATGTGGTGTGTGGTGTTGCGGTGCATGGTATGTGTGTGTCTCTGTGTGCATGTATGTGGTGTGTGGTGTAGAAGTGTGTGGTGTAGTGGTGTGTGGCCAGTGTGTGTATGGGGTGTATGTGCTGTATAACTTCACTGGTCTTCTGCAAGGACCCATGGGCACAGTAGTAGTGAATTGTTTCCCTGAGCTGGTAGAAGTTTGGTCAAGTGCACTAGGTATGGCCAGAAGGTAAACCAGCTGAAGTTTATATGTGCCTGCTGTTATGCCCAGTTTTTAGGATCCCCAAAAGACCACCAAGGAGCCAGCCCAGTTCGATGCAAAAGCAAAGAGTCTTTATTCGAGCTAGCTCGGCTACCTGACCACACTCACTGACGCAGCGGCAAGCGGCAGAGAGAGCTAGCCCTGTGGGAAGAGGGGTTTTATAGGGGGGTGGAGTATGGGGAGGAGAGAGGACTGTAGGCTCTGCCGATTGGCCGGGCGCAAGTCGGTGTCTTGTTACACAGGATGTGGTTGTATCTATGGCACGCACTTCCCTTGATTATCATTGGTTAGTTTAAAGAAATCCCAGGTGTGGCTAGCAGAGACTTGGGCTTCCGGGAAGAAGCTCCTTGCTGAGCACATGGCTAAGTCTGCTGCCCAAAAATGGAGGCTCTGGGGTAAGATGGAGGGCGTAGCCCTCGCCCTTTTATTCCCCCCTTGTCTTGAGAATTCCAGATCAATCATGAAACGGACTGCATTTCTATTTCACCATTGGTAGAGGCCTGTACTGGGTGCGCAGAACTATCAATTGAACCACCCTTATACGCTTCTTGACAAATTGGACTAGTCTGTTAATAATACAAGGGCCGAAAGTCAACAGCATTAGGAGGATTACAAGTGGTCCAGCGAGGTCCTCTGTCCTCCCGAGGGTGATCTGCAGCGGGTGTGTCTGGTTGGAGGTCATCTTCCACTCAGGCTCCCTGCTGTCCTGGGCACAGAAGGAGCTGGGCTTGTGACCTGGCAGAGACAAACTATAAGAAATGGTCTGGTGGAAGGGAAAGAAAACATTTCAGTTTTAACAACTTAAACACAACAAGAATGGTAACTGACCACCTTCCAGGACAGCTAATACATAGCTATAACAATGTCCCTCAGTGTGGGAGACTGGACACTTGCCA